TTGTGAAATATCAGGATAATCACCACACAAGAAAACTACGAATCAAATCTTCATTCAGACACATGTATGCAAGCACGCATGCGCGCACGGATGCACGAACGCACACACACTTGTCAACTAGGCAACAATGCTTATCATAAGAGGTGACAAACGGGTGGTCAGGCTCACTGACTTGGTTGATGCATGTCATCGTATCCCGTTTTGGTGGATCGGTGCTCGGTATATCTTTCACTAGATTGTCTGGTCCAGACTCGATTATAATCATAGAGCTGTAATGTTGCTGAGTGCGACATTAAACAACAAACGAACAAAAAAGCAGACAAACACTCACATATATCAAATATTTCTTTATTATAAATGTTATTCTATTCTATTTTGTCCAATGGATATCTTTTCTCTCAGATGCAGGCTGTCAATAACAGCAACAGCAGCAGCACCTACAATGGCAGCAGAACACCAGAGACTCGCTCAGAGGCAGCTACAACAGCAGCAGCTACAGCCTTACCAGGATCTGATACAAATTTTAGACAAAGTGCAAAGGACTTCGGTGAGATTTTTTATATTAATCGTTTGTTATTTATTGAGATTTCATGTTAATACAGACTTCCGTCCTCAACAATTGTAGAAGTACTGGTTTGTCCAGTACTGACTTGCATTTAGCCTTGATGCAACTACTATAGTCACCTAATGCGCTGTCATCAGTTCATGAAATAATCGGACAATAGTACGTAAGCCTGCTCCATTGTCACATACGAGGACGTAGGTGGCCCTGTCGTCCAAGGCCCCGCAATTCGCTGTGTGGAGTGTCTTTGGCACGCCAGAAACCTATAAACGAGTGTTCGAATCCCGGTTCTCAATGATCGTTTCTGGCGAAACCTCATTATCGGTGGTTTGAGAAGGGAGCTAACTCTGCTTGCCTAATCGAAGGTTTGAGGTGGGCCCACATTCGAAACTAAACGTACTTGTTGTAGAGAATATTTACTACGTCAAAAATCTAAATCACAAACTACTATTTTGTCTATTTAAAATGAGTATTGTGACTTTTAATATACAAATGTGTAGAAACTACAGCAGAACTCACTTGTACAAACATCGCAAAACTAGGTCATGGGGTCATTAATATTCATGAGTTATCCCTTTTATGGAACAAGTTTTGCCATGTTTCTAGGTTTCTCAGTGCAATGCTTGTGGGTTTCACCCAACGAGACCTGCATCACTTCAGGCTTTCCTCCCACACTAAGCTGACATGCCGTGATATAAGTGGAATACTGTTCAAAGCTGCGTTAACACCAACTCACACACTCATTCTCAATTACAATCTTGTCAGTTGACCTCATTGGATATGCTAGAGAAAAATGTCTTTGGCCTGTTGAAACAAGATATAAAGTTTAATTAACTGTTGCTGTTGAAATATCGAGTAACTACAGATCTATCTACCTGTGGTTTGATGTATTTCAGTCACATGCAGCCCTGTCGACAATTTTACAGGACAAAATCCTTCGTCCCAGAATACATACAAACGCATGATCATCCATGACCATTTTATGTCAGATTTACAATTGGGTGTTTCTTGTTTTTATTTACATGATAAAGAAATACAGTAAACTACGTTATAACGAACACGCTTATAACGAACTGACGGATATAACAGAGTGCTTTTTGGTCTCGTCCATTGGCTGTGTATATGCTGTATCAATGCTTTTAAACAAACTGCGGTTATAACAAACGAAACTTTGTGGTCCCTTTGAGTTATTATAACCGTAGTTTACTGTACAGACTCTTCTTGTAATATCAGTGCTCTTACTCTGAATGACAGTAAATATCATTCAATTAATACTTTTACCTCTAAAATATTTTGTTGAACTTGTTCCTCACAGAAGATGTGCAACAGCAAAATAGCTTTAAAGCTTGCATGACATAGCACATCTTTCATTGTAAATGAGGACCACCTCTGTGGTCTAGTGGTAGAGCATCTGCGAGGTGAGCAGAAGGTCGGGTTCTCCATCCCTTGCTGCGACATACCAAAAGACGTTAAAAGATGGTATTTGTTGTTTCCTTGGCTGGTGTTCGGCATTAAGGGGATCAGAGCTCCAGATAAGCTGCATATCTGCATAAAATATGCATCAGAAATGCAGAAATATGCAGTAAAATAAAATCCGAGCGTATCAAATACGCAACGAACATTACAGATACGCTACAAAAATTAAACTTGTTGGTATCATCAAAATATTTTGAAGTAACCCTGCGTATTCGATTAACAAATCAGCAACTTATTTTGAAATTATTCACGGGCATTCCGTCAACCTTGCCAAACTCCACAATGACAGTTACATCATGATCATTTGTAATCACACTTTCTTGTGGAAGTATCGTGGTATTTTTGAGTCCTATAAAGCTCTCAAACCCACACGAAACCAGATTGCAGGGACTAGATGAATAGTGTTTTTAAATATTTAACTTTAATACCCACATGTGTAAAAACTAGTGGTTAACAGAAATTTGAATACCAAAATAGAATTACTGATACACAATGATTTTAAAATGCATGGGTAAAATACCCACAACACCAAAAGCTTATCTGGAGCTCTGAGGGGATGAAACAAGGTCGGCTCAGTCAGTGTACTGTCTTGAGTGGTGTTAAACTGGGGCATGGTTTCTCAGTGAACTAGCACTGTAAAATCAGCATCAGTCCAGACTAGTACAAGCAGCCACACACACACACACACACACGTGCATGCACGTCGCTATATAAATACAATAATCTTCAATGCTACGTTAAACCCCATTTCACCTCACCTCACTCATTATAAAGGATATTTTCATATCTACCGGTTACAACAGCACGTTTAAGATTGCAACATCTAAATCTAGACTAGGATGTTGTACTGATATACTCGGACATATTTGGCCCAACTCGCTCACTCTCCACAAAAGGAACAACATGGATATATTGTTAACATAGGCAGGATAGTAAATTTGCTGTTCACTAACTTCTGGCAGCTGTTTTGAATCAATAATATGGCGGTGGACACTGGAATATAGGCCTCGAATTCACTCATTGTACCCATGTGGGGAATCAAACCCGGGTCTTTGCGTGACAAACCAACGTTTTAGCCACTTATACCCCCATTCCACTAGGCGGCGCTCCGTGAGAGCGCCATAGAGCGCCAAGATCGCCTAAAGCGCTAACGGATCGCTAACAGATTGCTAACTGATCTCCATGATCGCCAAGGTCGCCGCAGGTTGACTCCCCTGCACAAAGATCGGTGGCGCTCCGCCCAGAGCGCCATCAGATCGCCAATTGAATGCCTAGATCGCCATCAGAGCGCTACTTGATCACCAAGGTCGCAATCGGAGCGCTTTTGGATCACCATAGAGCGCTGCCGATGGCCACAAAAGCTGGCCTACCGATCTTCGGCGCTCCATGGCACTCCTCGGAGATGCATTTGCGCTCCGATGGCGCTCCGATGGCGCTCCGATGGCGCTCTGATTGTGCTTCACTGTTTGGTTCACGATTTGGAGCGCCACCCTGTGGCGCTCTGTGGCGCTCCAATGTCTCACCCAAAAAGCCTTCCTTCTCCTTCTTCTTCAAGGCTGCTGGGCCAGAATAGCAATCTGCTGGTTCACGATGGCATGGTTCACGAGATTGTAAATCACTTGTAATATGGCAGCATCTCTATCTGATCGAAATTGGATCACAAGTACCCCTATGTCGCCTCATTATATGGCGATCTATGGCGCTCCTTCAGATCGCGTAGATCACCTTGAATCTCTGCCTAGTGGAATGGGGGTATTACCCTCTCATATATGATCTCAGTGACCCATGGCAAAATATTTAACCCTGTACCTTATTCTAGTTGTTGAGTAAAATACGAACCAGTCACCATGTGTGAATGTGCCCGCATTGATCATTCTAACATCCTATCGACCACTGTGTGGTTGTCAGTCAAATATTAGCTGTAATATGGCTAACTGCAGCATTCTGCAGCATTCACTCCCTCACAGCATACACGCAATGGTAACTCTGCCACCTTCAGAAGTCCCAGATACCTTTGGGCTTGTGTCCCGATCATCTTTCTAGATTTATCAGCGCCATACCCTTTGCTCACCAAAGTGGTAAAGTCTGAGACCTGCATCACAGCTGGCTTTCCTCCAGCATCAAGCTGTTCTATGTCCACAAAGAAAATGCCTTGACATATTTTATCATGAATTAATTTAAATACTGTTTGACACTGAAGCAAACTCACTCACTCCACATAGTTTACAGTGTTCCAGAAGTTCTCTGGTCACAAGGGGCATGTGTGGCCCAGTCGTCTAAGGCGCCGTGATTCGCTGTGCAGAGTTGCGTCCCTTAGGTTCGAATCCAGGTTCGCCCTGATTATGTTTCTAGGTGTCAGCACCATGCCCGTGCTCGTGGGTGTCACCGAAGTGGTAAAGGTCTTAGACCTGCATCACTTCAGGCTCCCACATTAAGCTGACACGCCGCGATATAACTGGAATACTGTTAAAAGCGGCGTTAAACCCACGCACTCACTCTCTGGTCACAAGCAAAATACATGGAAACGGTTTAACATGGATTTTCCTCGAAAGAAAAGGTTCGATTTGATATGAGATTTGTGTTTAAAGAGTATATTTGTCAATATAGACATTTTCAAACTACCGGTATTAACCTGCTGGGAACAGTGAATCTGTGGATTTTGCAAGATTTGAAAGCCTAACAAATAGTAAACTCTAAGCACGAGTGTAATACGGTAATTCATTGAAGAGCTTTTTTATTTAAAATGTGCTGAAATATGCCCTTAATTATCAAGCAGTCGTTTGTATTTTTTCTTTAAGTTATGACATTTTTAAGATTTGCAGACAAGATTAATATGTTTCCGAAGTTGTTGTTGGTAGATTCTTGAAGTAGATAAGTGTATATGTTGGTCAAGGAATAGATGTTTCCTCCCTGGTTCTACGTGTGTTAATGAATATCTGCTTACCACTTCAGGTGTCATAACGAGGGACCAGGACACATTCATCTGAAAAAGCAGCAATATGTCACCAGCCTACTCACCAGCCTCAGTTGCCATCCATCCTCAGTTTCAACTAGCCTCAGCCTCAGCCTCCAGCTTCCATGGTCTCACCATCAGTAGTCAAGCAGTGAAACTGAAATTCCTCCTTCACCGTCAGCGTCCACATCAACCTGGTACCTGTCCAGATGCAGTAAATAAAACTGAAGATAAACAAATCATTTATATTATAAGAATTATTTGTTTAGGGCAAACATGTTCCCCGTCATATGGAATCAAGATTTCATTTCTGCTCTATATCTCACTTTAACAGCTGTCATACTGGTGCATGCATTCCCGAAACTCGTTCGTCGACTATCAACAACTTCAAAAAGGGCCTTACACATGTGCATTGATCGTTGTGTTTGTTTAGAAGTCATTGAAATTAACAAAATACTGTTTCTTCTACAGGTGTGGCTACCTTCTCCAACACCTGCCAATTACACCGCCTCATGTGTAGGAATTGACACCCTCTGTTATACTCCATAGCCATGTATCCTATCACTGAGATATACAAAGTGGTTCTGAAATCAACTCATATCCAGCATGATACAAAGATTACAACTTTGCATGCTTGTGTTATCAGGATCTTGTTTTGTGTGTGACGATCGTCCACTTCAAAGTCTCTGATGGTGTCCATGTGTACCTCCTGATGACTCGGCAGCTCCGAGGTGTTGATGGGTGTTTTATGTTTTATGGCTCATACTCCGACTTGAAACACCCACTAACACCTTCTAGTTGAACGATGACCCGGTTGTATTCAAAAGCATCTTATCAGGTAGTTTTTGGAGAGTGTCTTTTGTCAGGGAATTGTTTGAATGACTTTGAAACAGGAAATCCTTTCTCGTTGAGCGTGTCAGATCTCACTAGTATGTCTGAAGAAGTATCAACATTACATTTGGTTGGTTACACTCAACAAAATATTTCAGTTAGTATTCTTGATACTCGGAGTTAAAGGTGGATATTCCTCATCATGTACGGTGCTGTGGTAGGATGTTGGCAGTATCAGTCTACCACTAGGATGGATGTTGAACAGAGCTAAGTGACAAGGTGAGTTTCATACTGCACTTATTTGATGGTTTTGAAAGTATGAGGTTCACTTATGACAGACTGTTCCAAACCACTTTCTCCAGACATTCAGGTGAGGTGAGGTGAAATGGGGTTTAACGTCGCGTCCAAGATTATTGCACTTATATAGCGACGTACATGTACGTGTGTGTGTTTGTGTGGCTGCTTGTACTAGTCCGGACTGATGCCGATTTATAGTGCTAGCTCACTGAGATGTCGCAGTTTAACATGAATACCCCACTCAGACACAGTATACTGACTCCGAGCCGACCAGTCCTTGTTTTAGCCCCTTAATGCCGAGCGCCAGACAGGGTAACAACAAGTACCATCTTTTAACGTCTTTTGGTATGACGCGGCCGGGGATCAAAACCCCGGACCTTCCGCTCTCCGAGGGGACGCTCTATCATTAGACCACGGAGGCGGTTCCAGACATTCAGGACTCCCAGCCTTTCTTTCCCTTTATGGAACAGCCCTGTGATCAATTCAATTCCAAAATATTTGTTCCTGGTGTGTATGAAATGACATCTGATCACATCTGGACGTGCACAGGTGGTCTCGCCTCAGCTGTAGACTGCTGCCGTCTACCACACCGACCTGCCTCACCTGTCTGCCACACCCGTCTACCACACCCGTCTTCCACACCCATCTACCACACCTGTCTCATCTCTAGTCCATGGTGAGTATATGAACGCTCGGTCGCTGTAGTTAGCTGGTTACTTTATATGCACAATGAAGACTGGAAACATCTAGAGATGCCACTATATTGCACCTATAGCCTTAGACAAATAATAATATCAACATTGTAAATATAGATGCGAGCAGCGATGTAGGGCTCTATGATTTCTCATATGAATAAGGCATTTAGTTCCAGCCGACTTGAATCCATGTTATACACTGCACATGAGTATGATATAGTGTAATTAATAATTTGCTATTTCACTGGACCGTTTTGACGAAATTGTTGATAGAATGCTGATGTCATTTTCATCAACATCAAACACATCTCAGGAGGATCATGGGGACACTTTCTTGTCAATAGAATCTTTCAAGTGACTGAGCTGGAGCTGGCGTCAATGCGACTTGAAGGTGATTTGTTGTTGTAGGTAGGAGACAATGGATGTTGACATTTGGCACGTCCTCAGAGATAATGTGGCTTTGGGCATTGTCTAACAATAACAACATGTCAGTCACTTCTTGTCAAAGAAATTGAAGCAATTAGCAAAGAAAGCTCCAGTCATTTTAGCTGTATTTTGTTAACAAAGATTAAAACAGGTTAACTGTGAACACATCTGAGATCAATGCACCTAAGAGAAGAACGAATATGATACAGATTGATGAACGTTACTTCCAACACTTGGCATTACAGATAGGGAATTAGGACATATGTTCCGGAAAAAAAACCCATTGGAATTAGTATTTAAACCAGGTTGGCATTATAAAAAGCTTATTTGTTAGAGTGGAAATCCGTTCCAAGAAAATCATGGCATTATGAAAAAAAGGTGTCAAAAGAAAACCTCAGATATTTATATTTAACATCAGAGTTCTATCCATTTAGCTGTCAGGAGGTTAAAAGTGTATGTTAAGCAAATGCCATGACAAGTGAAAATATAAATTTACTGATCTAGTTCTAATTTGTATCCATTTGATGAATACTTTGCGAATGATTAAACCATGCTATTTTTTAACAAAGTGATAATTCACAGGTTTGTTTTGACGTAAATACGCTCGTTTGGGTGCTGGTCCCCTTTGATAAGCACCCGAAAGGAAGATGCACATTAGAACTGTGCTTCCAACTTCACACAACCTGTTAACTGGTCACAAGGTCCTCACAGCAATAGTACTTTCGCGGAACTCTCTATACTATCGCTGCCACCAGTCAAAACTCCCCACTGTAAATAGGTGGCCACAACCATGTTTGGAGTTGAACTCGCAACCTAATAACAGTTATGTTTACAAACAAGTAACGACCGTTGTGACGCCGAATACACTTATCGCTGCTAAATTACTTTCTTCGTTTGTCAATTTGAATTTCTGTTTCATTTAAACTATCGTGTTATTGATATAGTAAGAATGCAAGGGAGAAGTTGGTTGATTTTCCATTAGTCTGCAATCTCGAACCAATCTGATTATCAAAACAACAACGTAAATTCATCTGGAAAACATGGTCAGTTGTAAACCTTTTCAAAATGAAATATGATGGCATTCCCAAAGACATAAACAAAAGTATAAACATTACACAATGGGTTAGAGGGCAAATTTCAAGATTCTTGTAATGGCCGTGCCCACACTGACGGCAACGATGTTACCGAGAGTGTAACGAAGGTGTCACGCGCTGGGAAGGAGCTTGAACTGGTCATTGCTAGGGGAAGTTACTCTATTTGACCCACGTCATGAGTTTGGTGGCGCTACCATTTCCCACCCAATTGGACAGCCATATTCAGCTTGTTGTAGTGCAAGACAAAAATGGACATAATACAATAAATTTTAGGCTTTTACTTTTTTCTGTGTATCTGTGTTTACAGACTGATATTGTGGGTTACATATTCAATGGCTTTAATGTTCATACTGATGAATTGTTGGATATATTGTACCTTTTGAAAAGTAGGTGCATCTCTTGCTACACATCACGTGGCTGGGATTTGTGGGATTTTCAACAATTGTCTCATCATCTCTACTGGCTACTAATTTGTCAGTGGCAGAGCTCCTGATAACTTTTTGAGCAATTGTGGTTTTACTCAAAGGTTTCTATTTTAATTGGGTTATTACATTTTTTATTGGGTAACCAATATTGTATTTGTTTTTTTACCAAAATGAGTAAGCATTTTAAGATTTGAAAAAAAATGATATAATATTTTAGATGATAGATAGATAGATATTCTTTATTTCCTCCAATTGAATGAAGATTACAATATGCAGGTATGATTATGTTACATGTTTAACATGAATTGGGGGTATATTTACACATGTGCATAAACATACAAGTTTTCTAGCAGGTATTGCCATTTCCTTATAAAGCGGCTTACATTAATTATGACTTCTGCCCACACATCTCTTTCTAGCTCCATAATACATTCTATTGGACATCCACCAAGTAAGAACGCAAGAATAATATCATCATCTTTCTCCCAAATCTTAACAAAACATTTACATCCAGGATATCACATATAGTGTTAAAAAGTAAATTTCGGTCATTCATATTGATCGTGCAGGACATAAACACGTGCTTTACAATATCACTGGCAACAGTTTTACAATAGCATTCTCTAGAGACAATTTCAGCTGATCCATAGAATACAAGCCTTGCAATATTAGTCAAATGGTCATACTTCTCCAGGGCTAGTTTCCAGAGATAGTGTTTATTACTTGATCTTATTCTAACATATCTTGACAGACTGAGTCTTGAATTAAGATGGACATAAAATACATCATCTCAATGAGATTTAATAGCATCATTCACGGCCTTGGACCAGCATTTCTCTTTAATAAATTGACAGTTATTGACATAGTTAACAAGTGTATTACTTAGGTTATACTTCTGTACAAGTTGTAGCATATTATATATCAGAGATTTTCTACTCCATACATTGCATGTAAAACTATCTGTACACATAAATTGACCCAGGCGAACTAGAAACATAACTTTAAAAACACAGTTATACTTTGCATTGCACAGCTTTCCTAAGAAGTAGAGTGCTCTTTTATCTATGTAATACTGTAGTGGCATGATGCCGATAGCATCCAATGCAACAATACTTGGAGTGCGCCTGTGTAGTCCCTGAACTTTTTTACAAAATTGACGTTGTACAACTTCAAGCATTTCATACTCTTTAAGAGGAAGTTTACCCCATACGCTGCATCCATAGAGGGCACATGATAAGATTACCCTCTCCCAGATACGTGCTGCAGATAAAGGATTCAGACCACCAAAGTACAGCCCATTATTATGGTTAGTGTTGATGAGTACTCGTAACTTTTCGCATGCAGATTTTGTACGTTCAAGTGATGATTTATCTGTGCTAAGATATACACCTGCATATTTAATAGATTTCGTTTGTGGAACATGCATATCGCCAATTGATACATTAGTGGTTTGAACCTTTTTGTTTGGGCATCCGAAGTATAGAACTGCACTCTTGCTTACATTATATTTTAGCTGCCAGATATGAGCATAGTTTTGAACGACATCAAGAAGATTTTGCAGGCCTTTATTTGAGATACTCAATAAAGTAGTGTCGTCAGCAAGAAGGATCCCAGGGCATTTACCCCATGGCAGAATTAAGCCAGAATCTGAGTTTTCAAGTTCATATAGGAGGTCATTAATAAATAGCGTGAAAAGCCAGGTGGACATTACTCTACCTTGACCTACTCCCCGATTCACGGGGAAGGCATCCTTCAAAACACACAAATGATTTCATAGAGCCTTAATATTCTCCATAGTTTACCCGTTATTCCTATATCATACAGTTTAATAAATAATCCATCAAGCCATACCCGATCAAATGCTTTTTCGTTATCTAAAAATGCACAGTATACGGGCGACATCCTTTCATTGTAATATGCAATATTTTCTGTTAGCGTAAGTACAGCAGTTTCAGCACCATAGTGACGTCTAAATCCAAATTTGCAAAGGATGGGGAAATTCTATGTTATTATCTAGCCACGACTCTATTCTGTTGAGAAGAAGTCTTTCAAAGAGTTTGCTTAATACGGGCGTCATTGTTATTCCTCTATAATTGGCAGGGTCATATTTTGGTTTACCATGGCCTTTGTGTATAGGAAGAATTTGACCTATAGAAAATGATTTTGGAATGTATTCAAAGTTGATCATGGCATTGAATAGTAAGGCAATATGATACAGCAGAGATCTACCAGCCTTCTTTATATGCTCATTTACAGTACCGTCAGGACCAGGCGACTTTCGAACTTTAAGTCGTTTTACTGCACAATGGATTTCATCTTTAGTGAATGGATAATGCAGTGGAGATCTGGTGTCGTTATCTATAGCCTCTATTGTTTGAATATTAGCAACTCGCTCTTTAACATTCTGAGCATGTGCATAGTCACATTTAACATCAGGGCAAGGAGTAGCTAGTGTATGAAAATACAATCCAAACAGGTTGCAAATATCCTTTCCCTCGTAACAAGTTTGAGTGCCATAGACAAGCTTTTCAGTATTACCTTTATAGCGTTTGTAGCGTTTTGTCGTTTTGTAGAATTCTTTGACATCTACTTCTGCTGCCGCGTATATTTCATTAAATTTATCTTTAGATAACTGGTATTTTGCATAGCGATGTTTCTTACGGAAGAGACGTTTACTTTCTTTATATTTTGCATAGGCAGCATCGTTTTTGTCTCTAACTTTACCACTAGTAACCCATTGTCGGCGATACTTTCGCATTTCTTTATGTAAATTATTAAGACCATCTTTCTTCCAGTAAGGTTTGAGATAGGGTCTAAAGCGTGTGGATGGAATACTACCGGTGGCAGAAGCATGTAGAGAACCTGTGATAAAGTCACAGTAGTATTCAATATATTCTGCATTGCTATCAAAGTGAGCGTTGTTAATTTGAGTGTTGCGGAAGTACGTTTTCCGTTTCGTATCGATATAGCATTAGGTCAATTTCACTTGCCTTAGTCCAGTTTAGGTTCTCTCCATGATAATTCCCAATATTTACAGGGAGAAGAATACAAACAAGTATTGGTAGGTGATCTGAGATGTTATACGGAATGCTAGTGTCTATGGCATATCCAGTAACACTGCTTAGTGAATCAATATTTATAAAGACGTAGTCAATTAATGTT